ACTGCCATTCAACTTTCCGGTCTTATCTCCTGCGTTTTCCACCCATGGTTCCAGCCACAGAAAGCATTCCTACCTTTAAAGTCAGATCACAGGAAACATAACTAGCCCCCCACAGCCACGTGGACTCTCAGTGGTCGCCCTGGTCAGGCCTCCTGCAGTGACTCCAACTTCACTGTTGAAGGGATGTGCCTAGTTCAGTGTTCTCGAACGCCTCAGGACGCAACCTCCACAATTTTGCCACGGCAATATTCACCTGCTATTACTTTCTTAATACCTTTCTTCAACAATCTACTTCTATCAAATTATTAAAATGTAAAATCTGTATTATTACCATAAGTGGAAAACCAGTAGAAGCTGCTATAAACAAGAAGCAAATGTAAAAATAAACACAACGAAAAGAAATCATATGAAATTTTATCTAGATTGGGTTGCCGACACTCTCCTACCCCCAGAAAAAAAGACACCACTCACGTTAGGTTCGTGTTAAAGACCAGAACCAAAATGAGACCCTCTCCTTGATGTGTTCAGAGGGGTCAGAAAGGGATCAATGTTCTCAAATAAGGCTCATGTGACTTAACAACCTTGCACGCATCACCTAAATGCTCTCATGCGCCAGCACACATGCCCCACCTTGGGAAACACTGACCTAGCTTAACTCCTATCACCACCAACAGTGGAAACTGTGCCATCTGAAGCCACTGCCTGGGCTTGACTCCAGGACAGCACTTTCTGAATGTGTAACAGTAGGCAAGTTAGATAACCTTTCTTGGACTGGAACCGAGAGTAATGAAAACACCCATCTCAAGGTTGTTTGAGGGTTAATGTAAAAAGCGTTCTGAGACACTCCTGAAGCAAAAAGGCACTCAAAAATACTTATTCATCAAAAGATGGATCTGTCAAGGGACAAAAAAAAAGACTTTTTGGTAAAGATGAGACCGAGCAGGGGCTGGAGAGACAGTTTGATCGATTATCAGTGGATGACGGATGGAAGGATGGGTGGACAGAGAAGACTAACAGGACAGAGGAAACAAGTAAGTGAAGATCCATACCACAGAGTTCCTCTTTTTCTTCTCCCTAACCCATCAATTCAAGATTTCAGATTTCTGCCTCTCTCCACCCCATGTTACTGCCATCTTGGAGGCCGTCTCATGCATGCTCACGAGGAGGTCCTCAGTTTCCCAGCCTGTGTTCTTACATCTGTGGGTTTGTCTCTTCTCAGCTGTCCTGGCCTCTCTTGGCTGACACCAGTGCAAGTGCCGGCCCTGCGTCCCGAGGGCAGTGCCCGCTCGGTCAGGACTCATCACATCTGCGAGCTCCTCCTAGACCGTGCTGCCCTGCCTGCAGCCCCTCCTGCTCTTCAGGCCAAGCGTCCTATTCCTTAGGTGGCTCTGGAAGGCCCGAGACCAAAAAGGGCTGTGTGTTCTGTTGCCGATTAGGAAATATCCCTCTCACATTTTGACGTTATACAGAAGGATTTAAAAATCATCCTCAAATCAGCATCAAGATGTTGCAGGTGAATAATATGTTGCTATATTTGAAAACATTTATTTTCAGAACAAAAATTAATGTTTCCTAATGACTCTAGTTCTCTTAAACATTATTTTCACACACGTGACGAAAACAGCAGGCTACAATTTTAGATTCTATGATTCCAAAATCAAATGGTTCCTTCCCAATTTGCGCTGAAGTCTGTGATTCTCTCTAAAACCTGATTCTCTTGATATGACTTCAAATCAGAACCCATGAATGTTCATCCTTTACAAATTCCTTTATTCTCTTAAATTCAGTTTGCTTCATATATTGCCTAGAATCCGACCATGTTTTATCAGATTTTGCTCCTAGACACACAAAAATCCAATTAATAAAATCTACACCATTATAATATCCAAAGCCAGAATTAAGTGAGTAATCCAACTTATATTTAAAATTCTTGGCAAATAAACTTAGCCTATATGGAACATATCTATTTACATAAAATGGTGCTACATGTAACGCAAGACAAAAAAACCAACAACCGTTTTACCCTAAAGTGAATATGTTTTAAAAACTATAAATATTGCCATAAAAATGGAAAGGTCTTTCTCCCATAAATTCAAGAAACAATCTTGACATGTTTTGGAATGCAATTGAAAAGAACGTGGTCCAAAATGCAGGTTATGGTCTCTGTTTTGTCACACTGGCCGTGTGCCCTGTATCTGCGGGGCTTCAGTTGCCATCTCTAGAAGGTGAAGAGTCTGCATGAAACGGCCAGAAGCTCTGCAGTTACAGCCGCCTCGCGCTCTTGTTTCACCTCTCCCCACTCACTGGTTCCCCAGGACACCGATTTTGTATGCAGGTCTTATTTTTCCAACAAGTACTTACTATTGAGTGGCCACTATGTGCCAGGAACCTTGCTAGGCACTAGGAGTACAAAGGTTTGGAAAAAATATGGTTCATGTTCACGTAAACCCTGCAACTTAGTGGGCGAGATGGACAGTCAACAATCGGAGCATCACCCATTGTGACGGTCTCGAGAAGGAAAACCTCACTGTGCTCTGAGGGTCAGGACCGGTGACTAGTTGGGATTGGGGGCATCAAGGAGCCACAGTGAGACCGTGCGTCCAAGTGAGGAGCAGAAGGAAGCAGACGGCAGCCTTCAGGGTGCAGTGAGGAATGTGGGCCAGCCGAGGGACACAGTGGACCGGCTGAAGGAACTGAGGGCCGACCACGTGGCTGAGGCGGGGCAGGAACGAGGGACGGGTCTCCCCTGGACCAGTGGGAGGTCAGATTTTACCATAAGTGCAGGGAGTTCTTTGGGTCGGACCTGGATGCTGAAGTTAGAGTCCCAGCTCCACCGCCCATTAGCGGTGTGCCCTTGGGCAGTTTCCTCTTCAAAGTTACCAGGAGGATTAGATAAATCCATGTAAATAAAGTGTGTAAAACAGTGCCCAGGGCGTGGTAAACACTGCAGAGTCTGTTGTCCTTATTTGCATCATCCTTCCTGTCTTAGGACACAGAGCAGCTCCAAGACAGGAGCCCCACACTTGGGGCGCTGAGATGGGTTCTGGGCTTTCTCTCCCTCAGTGACTGGTTCTACAGTAAAACGAGGGAACTGGAAGGGACACTGACCACTCTGACTTGTAATAATGAGACAGAGGGCCACCCAGGGAGCAGTGAGTTGCTCTTGAATCTCTTCTCTGGCTTTTGAGATTTAATGGACATTGTAATATGGGAAAAATATTTAAGAATTCTTGCTCTGGAGCTGTCATAATTTTAGTTCAAGAAGATGAAAATTGCCTTCCACCCAAGTTTTCTTCGAAATTCATTGTACCAAAGTTGCGTGTACCATCATTTCCAGTTCTTCACCGATGGTGAAGGTTTCAGAATCTGGACGATCATCTAAGTCCACTGCTTCACTTTGCCATGTGGAAACTTCAGCAAATAAACAAGTAAACTTCTCAGCCATGTTGATGACATGAGTAACTAAGGTCTGTGAGCAAACAACAAAGGTCTGGATAAAATCAGCTGTTTCAATGGAAAACGTCCTACGGCTTACTTTTCTCCACTGTCCTTTGCTCAGTTCCTAAGAACTCTGCACTGATCCCCTGGACTATAATAGGCCGTTCCTTTTTATCAAATGCAAACTCAGACTTAAGGTTCTTAAATTTGCCTAAATTTTTATATAAAATTTAATTATCTTCTATCTATCAATTCCAGTACAAGGTGCTGAAGACACAAAAAGTATTAAGACGTGGGTTATCGCCTTAAAAAGATGATAGGAAGAGAGAGAGGAACAGCAAGGAGAAAGGAACACCAGGGGTGGGCGGGCAGGACGAGCCTCAGGGTGATGGGAGGCAGGGGTGAGCCCCAGGCCCTGCTTTCTGAAGGTAACTTTCATCTCTAAGATCGTGGCGCTCTCTCAAGCAGGTGGCAGCCGACAGCTCGTCACTGCACTAACATAGCAGCACTTCCCTAAAGTTAAGGGGCAAGTTCATAAATTTAAGTCATCCATTCATTTATCCACAACCCGTTTTTGAGCTTCTCCTGGACACAGAATCGGATCTAACCTGATGGTGGGCCATTCCAGCCAGGATGCAAACCGGCTTCCCAGAACGTGTGCTGTATCTTATTTCCCCCTCTAAACGCTCACATCGACAGGCTTCTGAAATGAAGATTCCTTCGTGATCTCTTCACTTCTCTTGTCTGTCCTTTTCCCATGAGGTAAATAAGCTTCCATCTGACTCTCTGGATAGATCCTACAAAACCTCGGCCACATTGATAGCTGTCCTTCCGTACGCAGCAGGCCAACATGCTAACAAACCAGGTGACAGGTTGTCCGAACGAGAAAAAACGATAAAAGTGCAAAACTGAAGAATGAAGATGACCAAAAATCAGCTAAAAATCAGGTCGCTAAACTACTTTCAACTGATTTAACATTGGGACATCAGTCCCCTCTTTAAAATATTTATTATCTTGTATTTATACACAAAAACTAGGAAAGCACAAGGTCGTATAATTTCTTCACCAAATCACAGGGAAGCCAATGTGATAAGGTCTTCGAGGAAGGTCAAGAGTAAGCATCTGGTGAGTTTTGTTCTCTTTCACGGCACTGATGTAACACACAGCGGAAATGTTACAGCAGACAAGGTCGGCGACGTGCTCTCCAGCTCGAGTGTCCCCTGCTCCCTGGCACACAGGACACCCTCGCAGGGCACCAGGTCCTGTCTGGAGCGTCCATGAGCGTCTGAAGTCTGGAGCTGTGCCGTGTGCTGGCTGACTAAAGGGAGGGGATGAGCTCTCTGCGTGGGTCCGTGTCACAGCAATAAGGGTCTGATCCCAGCCCACCTCCCCCAACAGCTGCTGCTGTCACGTGGGAGTCCCCTAAACCTTGTGGGACAAAATGGCAGACTTTCTCTGGGTTTCCGCAGCAGTTTAATCATGCATCTTGGTGTTTCTTTTTGGGGTTTTTTTTGGTTTTTTTTTTTTGTTTTTTTTTTTACTATAGAGGCTCTTAAACTTACCCCAATAGCTGCTAAGATTGGGGCCTGATAAATCCACTTGATGTCTCCAGCACTGAGTTCCCAGCACCTGAGACATGGAAAGGAACTTTCATGAATAAGTTGGCAGAACAAATAGGCAGTGAGAATTAAGCAGCATTTTAAGTTTTGCCAAAAACTCCAGCCCCAAACTTTTGATTAAGAAACAAATAGACAAAAAACTCTTCTCGTAAAACACCCAACCAGTGAAAAAAAAAAGTGTAATGGGTCCTGGTTTCCATACTCCTAGCTCTAGAGTATCACAGATATTAGTGAATTATTTTTATAGTAATAAGAGTCAAAACCACATTTCCAGAGTCACAAGAAAACGTGATACAACCGATACTTCATTTTTATGTCACTGGAATGATAAAGGCTCTCACTTTCAGAAGTCACAGCAGTTCTATTTTATAACTCCATAAGTTGTTGGACTCTGACAATGATGAAACCATTCTTATCCACAGAAATGCAATAGAAAACTGACAATAATGAAATGACTCTCATTGATGGGAAAGGAATAGAGAACGAGGAACATGACTTTTGACCATAGAAATGACAAAAGCTGTGTTCCATGGAATGTGACTGGTTAGTGCCCTGTGGATATTGACCAGGTTTTGCATTAATTTGCAAATTTATGTCAGTGTTCACTTCATTAAATATAAGCACATGATTCTTTTATTTCTCCTGTGAACTGTTTGTAACATCTTACTGGTTCCCTCATTAACCAGTGAGTAAAAAATCTTCGGCAGGTGCTCATTGTATATTTGCATAAGATCCATTATTTTATCTTTAATTTTTAAAAGTTAGTTTTTAACAGTACTTAATAAACACACCATATAATTTACCTATTTGTGACACACATTTTCTGCCCCTCCCACCCGCCAGGATCCACGTTCTAGGTGGGCAGGGACCACTGCTGCTCTTGCTCTCTGATGGATTATGAGCGCTCAGAACGGGACACAGCAGTGGGTACCAGTAAGTGTCATCGTGAACTGACTTCAGGAGAAGTCTGACTAACCTCACGGGATCTGGTTCAGGGTAAAGCTCTTACACCAGAACCAACAGCACAGGTTGAGGAAAACCAGTTCCACTTGAAACTTTCATGCAGCACTTTAAACAGTTTCTTTAAAGAGACATAAACAAAAGCCTTCAGCTTCTTTCTCCTTAGACAAAACCTAGCAGTGACTGTGGCAACAGTGAATGAAATCTTATAGAGAAATTTTAGGAACATGGTAATTTTTTAAATCTAGATGATAAACTTATCAAAAAGTTACTTTTAAATTAATGAACAAGTCATGGATAATAAAATCTATTTCAACCATTCCTCGAGGGTAAAACATTTTCAGTACACAAGTAATAACTACATATTTTTTAAATTTAAATTTTTATATGGGCAATACATTCTCATTTCAAAAATCAAACTATATAAAAGACAGACAGCTGAGACATCTCCGTCCTCCCATGTTCCTGTCCACCTCTGCCTCTGCCTGCTCCTTGGGTAACATCTTTTATTTCTTTACTGTATATGCTTCCAGTGTTCCCTTACACATATGATAAATGACAAGCAATAGGATATTGGAGCATATGAGGAAGCCATTTGCTGTAAAACTAACTTGGCCTCACCTTGTTTTTCCAAAAGGGCCTGATGTAGCCTGTTGAGCAGACATTGTACATCTGCTTTAAACATTTACTGTGTCCCAAGGACAAGAATGATGCCCTTAAAGATAGGCATGTAGCTGCCCCCCATATTGGCATTTCCTTAAGGATGAGCATCTCTTCCTGGAAACTAAGGATTAATTGCCGACCTGCTGTGCTCACCTGGTGACCACTGACCTACTGTGACAGCTAAGCATCTCATGACTGTTGTAAAAGAGACATTCCTGTCATATGTGATGTATGCTCTTTGTTCCAAGACGGTGTATAACCACTCTGCACACCCCACGTTTTTGGTGCCCTTCTGGGGAAGGAAGGCCCCAGGCTGTAGTCCTCAAACTTGGCTCATAACAAACTCTCCTCATCTTTATTTTTAGATTGACTATGGATTATTTTCGTCAACACGTAAATACTATAATCTTATTTTCCCCTATCTTAGAAAAGAACTGCAATGTATACCCTATTCTGCAACTTGCTCTTTCCTTTTGACAGTATATGTTTTATTTCTTTCCATATCAGCACCAAGAGAGCTTGGGAGCATAGCACCCCTGGGAGGATGTTTTCAATTAGAACAACCAGACCCTAGAACACAGGGTGATTCTGGTCCGGCCACCCTGAGATGCGAAGTCTGAACAACAATGGAAAGCAAGGACGGGTTTGCACATCATCGAGCATCTCCCAGCATTATTTGCATGCACCTACTTTTCACATTCTTCAACCAGACAAGAAAGATAAAAGACAGTGTTGCTGACTTGTGCAGAGTCTATCTCTCTTCCATGAAAAGGCTGTAAGGAAAGGGGCAGACGGCGTACGAATGTGAATTGAGCATTGATTCACCAGCTACTAAACTCTTGGATTCCATAAATTTCTTTTCAGTTTTGACATATGGTAATATCTTCACAATCTTCTCTTTCTGCCTCAATGACACTTCATCTTCGTGTCTCCTAGCACACTGGAATTCATTTGCACAATTTTAGCTCTATAAAATGATTGTATTTGGAAGTAGGTCAAACCAGCTACTTCTAAAAACAGGAAAAACTTGACTTTGATCATTTTCAACTCAAAGTTTCAACTTTGCCTTTTGATATGAAAGGCAACCAAGATTTCAGATTTTTTTTTAAGAAAATGCTATTAATCTTGTTTTTTCACTAATTCTTCAGTGTCTCAGCTCATACTGTATTTGTTAACATGGCCCAGGAACTACCCTCTGTTCAGATTTTTTAAAATAAATTTTAACACTCCAGGAAATGCAGGAAGGGATGTCAGGGAAAATGCAGCGTGAGGCACAGCGGTCTCGCTGGACAGGAGGCCCTGCTGCAGCCGGGACTGGAAGCAGGAGGCCCACGGTTCTGCCAGAGAGGACCAGGGACTCGGCCTGACCGGATCCACACTGTCTCCACAGCTCACAGCCTGACGCCAGCAGAGCGAGGGCAGAAGCCTGAGAGCCACGCGGGTCTCCCAGGAGCGACCGGCTTCTTTCCTGGGTCCTTCCCACCTCAGCCCCACGTCTCCTGGGGGCATCTCATCTCCTCCGAGTGAGGAGGGAGGAGGTAACAAGGTATCTTGTGAGATGTTTTTGCTTTTGTAAGTAAAACAAAAAGAAACAAAATCACTCACTTTTTAAGTTCATTTCTCCAATCTAAACACTCAATTATCTCTTAGTCAGATCACACTTTTGATAGAATTTTAGAACTGGAAGAGACTTCCTTTGAATATTCAATAGAATTTAGGGCACCTTCTCAAACTAGGTCTAATCTGCTTCTCTCTAAATGGTCAAGATGCACAAAAAAGCAGAGTTCTGGCTTTGATAGGCCAGATCAGAAAGAGATGAATCTCCAACCTCAGAGACAGCACAGGGACCCATCAGTCCTTTGTGGATTCTGCGAGTCTGCTCTCTCCACCGAACTTGTGACCCAGCACACAGAGGTCAGACCACGCTCAAGAAAACCCACAGATTTGCTATCTATAGACAAGCTGAATTTCATGAGAAATCAAGTCAGGCAATTTTGAAATCATGCCATGTATGTGGTAATGCAGTTTGGTTTTATACACAAAATAAATGTAGAATGACCCCGTAACCCAATTATGACTCTCAGATAAGGGCAGTAAGTATAGAATTCATTTATTCCGAGTAAGGTGGGAATAAATATTTTCCACAGAGTCACATAATCAAACTTATATTTAATTTTTCTACATTAATTCAACTGTTTTAGAGCAATATTTAGTATCTGCTATATTTTTCAAAATATTTTGTACCTCAAATATTTTTGCCTCAAAAATAGTAAACCTGGATTTCTTTTTTTTTTTTTCAGCGAAAAGCCATGATTATTACTGGTTTATGATTTAGTTTGATTTTTAAGAAAGAATGCAAGATAACTAAGAAAACTAACTATCTAATTTAATATGAAATGCATTGTGACTACATTTGCACTCCTTCTGCTCTCAGGGCCTGCAACATCCGCTGATAGATGAATGAGTCAGAGCTGCTCCAGGCTGGCTGCGGGCCTTGAGAGGTGACCTGACGTCTCTGGTCTCATTTTATTCACATCTCACATGAGAGGGTCCAACCAAAATATGCCTTTGGCCCTGCCTTCTCTGAAAGTCCGAATCTGAGTTAGACGGTTACACATCTCAGGGTAAATTGTTTCATGTTATTTAGCACCTCTTTACCGACTCAACCCCCCTCCCTCTTCTGAGAAGTCAAACAGCAGGTGCTGCAGGGTTTGGTTGAGACTTCCAACACTGCTGTGTAAATACAGCAATAACGGCAACACTGTGCGTAACGGGAGCCCTCAATTGTTAAAAATCCAAGCAGCATGAGGAGAGAAAAGCAAGTGAAAGTGCAAAGCCAGTGAGTCCCAGAAGGAGGAGGCTGACGGGTGGGGAGCTGTAGGGCGTGGAGCCGGGAGGCTGCACCTGAGGAGAAGGGTGGTGGAGGTCAGAATTTTGGGAGCCGTGGCAGGTTCTCTACAGAGTTAGGTGCTCACGGAGCGTGGCACTCACACAGACAAAGTGATTCCTGAAGAAAACACCTCATACCTCAAACAAACGTGTCAGCTCAAATTAAAGAGGGATTCCCAGGAGCGACAGAAAGGAGCTGCTGTCGTGCAATGTGCGCAGTCTGTGGATCCTGAATCCTGTTCTGTTAACACAGAGGATGCTCCACATGACCACACGCATGAGTCAAAGCTGTGTCTCAGTCGGCCGGGGCTGCCAGGACAATATGCCATAGACCAGGCGACTTAAACAAGAGACATTTAATTTCTCAGTCTGGAGGTCCGTTTCTGGTGAGGCCTCTCTTCCCCTCACCCTGCTGTGTGCGTAAGTCCTTCACTTTGTGAGCTCTCTGGGGTCTCTTCTCATAGGACACTAATCCTGTCCTGCCAGAGCCCCACCCTCATGACCTCATTTAACCCTAGTAACCTCCTATGGGCCCTGTCTCCAGATACAGCCACACTGGGCTTGGGCTTCTGCATTTGAATTTGGGGACGCAATTCAGTCCACAGCAGTAAGTTGGACCATGAAAGCAAAGGGCAGGCACCCGAGAGCTTTCCCACTTGCTCCTTTTTCTCTTTGACTCTTCATTACTAAAACTAGAAATAATATGAAGAAATGAATGTTTCTGCACCTATTCATCACGTAACCCTAAAGAGGCACGAAGACAACTGGGGGCTAGGGATTCACTGGGACGGATTCCACTTCTAAGGTGAGTCTGTTTTGCTGTTGAAAAACATTTAATTACGCTTAGAAGACAAGAAAGCAAATGGGATGGATGAACCCCAGAGTTTGCATTAAATACAGATAAGCAGTTAGTCAGTAGAGCATGCATGTTAAATGCAGGTACTAAATATAAATGAGGCACCTGGGCATGAAATATCCCTGATGCACAGTAAGTGCTCACTCCTCCTGACGTCTTAATTCAGCCACTGACTGGTGAAACCCATCCCCATATCCTTTGCCCCAGAAGCACAAATAAAACCCAGAGCTGCTCCCCAGGCTACTGGCAAGCTACAGCTGTAGCCAGGCAGGCGTACCTGCACCTGCATCTCTGAGGCAGCAGGTGTGTGCCCCTGGCCCTGGCCATCTTCCGTCAGGGTCCCCGTGCTGCAACCTCATCTCTGATCCTCATGACCACACCGTCAAGGGGGAAGGCTGGTGTGGCAGAGAAAGAAGAGATGTGAGTACTGCCTATACCAGGACTTGGGTCATGTGGTCCTTCCACCTGCTCACACCAGATCCTAAGTGTTAACTTACCCATCTCTTCTCCCTTGCTTCTCTCAAGGTATTTTAAATTGATTTCATAAGCGTGGAGTTCGAGCATCCTAATCTGGTCTGTATGTCTTTCTGTTCTGTGACCTCAGGGATGGACAGCTTGCTGCTAATGTACCATCACATCAGGGTAATCTCCCATATGACACCCCTAAAGGGTGATGCTGCCAAGAACCACTGCAAGTGTGAACTCCAAGCAGGAAGTTGGAGTCTTATGAAACTCCAAGGCTCACCCTCCCTCTTCTTTCTACTCACCTTGCATCAGCCAGAGTCGCCCGTGCCACAGCCCAGGCTGCAACAAACACCGCCGGGAACCCTGCAAATCAGAAAAGGATTCAGAGACCATATTTCTCTTAAGATTAAGGGATTTTTTTTTCCCTTATATTCCCCCAAACACAAAAGTATACTATTAAAAGTTGAGAGAGAAAAACAGACATGAAAAATGTTGATGCGTGAACAGGAAAAGTCCACTTAATATTCCTCTTGTCCTTTTGAGAAATGAGTGGGGCGCACTGAGTTATCTGTTCCTCAAAGTCTGAGATGAAGGTTGGCCCAGCTTCCACTTGAGGGACAGAAGGTCGAGCCACTTTGTGGGGGATGAATATCCTGGGGCCACAGTAGGCAGCGTCGGCGCACTCGACGTTGACTCTTGCCACACTGACAGCACGCGCTTTCCAGGAGGAGAGAGGCAACACGAGGGACTCACAGGAGCTGCAGAGAGGCTGTTGTTTTGAAACGTTAGAACTTTTTCATTCTAAAAGTGAAGGCATAGAGAGGCTATGCTGCAAGTCATGAAATAGAACGTTTGTGGTCAGTTCAGCCTCTTCCTTTTTTTGTCCATGTTGGCTCAAGACAGAAGCATTTGCAGCATGAATAGCTTAGCAAAGGGCAGTCGCTGTGTCAGTCTGAGGATGTGAGCTGAAGACATTTGTCCTTCATAAAGATAGACGCCTTGTGAGCTGCAACGTCAGATCTGTTCCACTGACTTTCCACGAGTCCTGTGACCCAGGAAAGGTCGATTGTGGAGTTCACACTGTAGCTGATAGACTCTGACATCACAGAACAATCACAAACCAGGACTATGGAACACCGCAACACAGGACCACAGGCTTTAATGGGTAACTGTTAGTTCTGCAGGCTTTATGAAAGAGGGTTAAAAAAAGGAAAGGGAGACCATGATGAAAACACTAAGGAAGCTGGGAAGCTTACCTTAGAAGGAGAGAGAAAACGTTCTCATCTAACTTAAAACATTTTTTACTAAACACAATATTAAATTCTTTACTTTTAAATATATATTTTTAATTTTTCAGATCTTCTTAGCAAAGAAGTGAACAAAGAAATAGATTCAGATGAAGGAAAATTTCATTAAAAAATGAAAAGAAGATGATGCCCTCAATAGAGAATTTCTTTGGTCTCCTCAGTGATCATCTGATTGAATTTAGCCTCAAGCTGTCTGCGTGGTTAAGTTTATGATTCTTTACTCCAATTTTGTTTATTGTTTGTATATAACTCCTTTTTTAAAAAAATATGCTTGAATTCTATGTTCCAGGAAATGGTTTTTGTCAAAATAGATATTCCCAGTTTCAGTAATTTCTTAGGTTCAGCTTACGTGTTCTATCTATCCATCCATCTACTATCCGTTCACCCATCCAGTAAGCATTTATGAAGTGCCCACTTAAGCGCCAAGGAGTGTTCTAGTCTCAGAAGATAAAACAATGAACAGATAAACAATAACCCTGTTTTCCTGAAACATATTCTCGTGGTAGAGGCAAAATTAATAACACATCTTCAGTTATCAATTAGTGCTATGAAGAAGAAACAAGAATGATCCTATGCAATGGAGAGCATGGCTCCTTCTGACAGGAAGGTTCAAAAGGCCTGACATGGGTCCCGTTGCTGTTCTGCTGCCCTGGCGATCTTTAAAAAGCATCTGTCTGACTGTGATGCGGTTTTCACATTCTCTTATTTGCAGGTCTTTCTCTTCTGCTTCACAGTCTGCTCATCAGGCAGCTTGCTGAATGATGTTCTCTACACGGTGATTAATGGTGCTGCGCTGGAACTACATTTTAGACAGTAATTATAACAAGTATTTTATATCGAGCATCTTGTCTTAATGAAATTGCTTTCTTGTCCTCTTGGGAGACCCTCATTCACAAGACCAGCATAGAGACAATCACGGAGGAGTGAAGAACAGAAACCGCTTTGAGAATCTTTAAGGATCTTAGTATCACATTATTACATAACTGAGATCACATACATATAGAAAAAGATGAAGCTTAGACGTTATTTTAAATTTAAATATTAATTTAAATAAATTTCATGTAAATTTGAATGCTACTCAATTTATGCATTTACCTTAAGAGCTGAGTTATTGCCATAAAATGTGTCAGTATCAGTAAGTGACTCTGAGACAGAGGCAAGTCTGCTCTAAGAAACGTAGACTTGGGTTCTGCTGTGGCTCCATTACTGCTCTCCTTCAAAATGAAGTTTGGAGGCCGGCACCGTGGCGCAGTGGTTAAGTTTGCGTGCTCCACTTCAGTGGCCTGAGTTCATGGGTTCAGATCCTGGGCACAGACCTACACACCACTCGTCAGACCACCCTGTGGTGGCATCCCACACACAAAACAGAGGAAGACTGGCACAGATGTTAGCTCACTCTTCCTCACAAATAAAATAAAATAAAATAAAATGAAGGTTTGGACTAACTAATAGCAGTCAAAAACTTTTAGCAATTAAATTTTCTTCAAACCAAAGCTTATACAGCATCCCACTGCATAAAGCAGAGATGCCTTGAAGCCAAAGTGGGGTGATAGAGTCTGTGTAATTTTATCTTGTTTTGCACACTTCAGAGGCTTGGCAGAACGCAGCCACAGCCTCACCCTCCTCCTGCGATGCTACTGAAGCATTGTGGTCATGGCTTGATCATAAAGTGTAGAGTCAGTGCTAAAAATTAGAGACCCATCATGACATGCGGATTCCCAGGCCTGCCACAGACATATGACGTCTTACTAACCAGAAACCTTGACTTCCCTGGAAATCCAATCTGTGCTGACTGCTCAAACGTGAAGCTCCAGGCCAGTCTGGACTCATTGCCGCATGCTGGAACTCACTACCCATCCCTGCTGAGTCATCCTTTAAGGAACCTGGAAGTCCCTCCATATAATTTTGGCAAAATTGTTCTCTATTCTCACAGGACTCTAAAGCCAATACTGAATTAGCACATGTCTCGGTCAGGAAAACAGCTGAGCCTTCAAAAGTCTTCCATCTGACAAAGGAGAATGTCTGTTTGTGAAACTCTAGAAGAACTGCCTCCTCCTGAGATGGAATTACTACAGGAGACACAAGCAATATTTTAAAATTATATCTAATTCATAGTCCAAAAAAATGCTCTAGAAGAATAGAGAAAGGCATTGTGAAAAAGGACCAGTCTGGAACAGAAGAGCCACAGCGGAAAAGAAAATATGCTTATTGAATTAATATCACCAGTGGGCAGAAACCATAGGAAATCAAATTGATGGAGAGAAGGCGGAATCTTGAAACTAGGTGAACCCACAGAGAAAATCTACATGATCATTACAGATTTGAATCTAAAGTTGACAATAGTTTATTTTCTTTGAGAGAGGTAGTAATCCATACAATTTTAAATGACTGGAAGTAAAACTCCAAATTACATTGTGAAAGTCTGGAAAAATGACAAGCAGAGAGAACCAAGTTCCCTATCTTTCATAAAGTAGGGTCAAAATATAGATCTTTTATTAACTCTAATGGTTAAATATAATTTTGACTTTAAGACAACCTTCAATAGAATTAATAATGGCATTTAAAAAATCATACGAGGGGAGGCCTGGTGGCGCAGCAGTTAAATGCACACATTCTACTTCTCAGCGACCTGGGGTTCACCAGTCCGGATCCCAGGTGCGGACATGGCACCACTTGGCAAAAGCCATGCTGTGGTAAGTGTCCCATGTATAAAGTAAAGGAAGATGGACGTGGATGTTAGCTCAGGGCCAGTCTTCCTCAGCAAAAAGAAAAAAAAATCATAGGAAAAGGGAGAAATGGTTTTTCTAGATTTTATATTTTGCTTGTAGCAAACAATGAAGATTTTTAATTGTGTAAAGGTGTTATATTGACTATCAAATAATTTCATGAAGGACAGACTTTGTAAATTTAATATGTTGAATGTAACAGTATGACAAGAACAGCAAACAGAAAACAAAGTAACTAAAGGGTCCTGCAGCCTGCTTCTCGCAGGTGGGCCAGTAATGCATGTCTCTGCACTGCGGTTCTATTTACTACCAAAGGACCATCAAAAAATGTCTGCTGTATTGAGATCATTTTACATGAGAAAATAAAACTGAAAGTGTAGTGCCTTCTCTTGAGTATTTTCAAAGAGTACAGAATATGAAAATATTCTACATGAAAGCTCAGCAATGGAGTATAACCAGGACAGGTCTTTTCTATGACAATATGTACATACCAGCATCTCATCTGATGGTTTAAAAGTAAGAGCAGCTGCTAACACAGAGGTAAATTGCCACATTCAATAAGAATAAAGAAACAAGACTGACACCTTTTTTTTTTTTTCACTGAGGAAGATTGACCCTGAGCTAACATCTGTTGCCAATCATCCTCTTTTTGTATGTGAGTTGCCGCCACAGCTTGGCCACTGACGAGTGGTGTAGGTCCACACACAGGAACCAAACCCAGGCCACTGGAGTGGAGAACACCAAACTCAATCACTAAGCCAAAGCCACCAGGGCTGGCCCAAGACTGACACCTTTTAAATATAGAATTAAATATATAGGAAAATGTGTAGCTGAAAGAATAAAGTGGAATCAAGAATAAAGTGCCTTACTTATGAGAAAATTGAGGCAAGGATGGGGAAAATTAAGAATGTGGTTGGCTGAAAGAAGGGAAATATAGTTATCGTTAGTATTTGCTTTTACTCCTCTATACATCTCATTTTGTGATAAAAATGTGTAAAAAGAGTCATTTTAAATATTTGCCTTCAATTTAGTAAAGGTTAGATATGACATCTGTTCCTCTTTATATTGTAATCTCCTTCCCTTCCAATTTATTGTTAAGAATCAGCAAAATCAACGTAAACAATGTAACTCCAACATCACCACCATGTGAGTAATAAGGTTCTGAGCATTCACCCAGCTGAAGATCCAAATGGGTAAAAAGGAGTCTAAGTGAGCTCCTTTCTCCAGGGAAGCCAGGCAGCCACATAGTTGGAAGAAAGTAAGAAACTGCATTCACTATGAACTCAGCTAGCAAAGCATCCTGCAAAGCAGCTATAAGGTTTTTGATCATTATTTTTCTTATAGAGATTTGGAAAAATGATATTTTAAAATCAGACGCTCAATACCGAGATAAGAGAAAAATAGTCCATTAGTCAAATAGACTTGGATATTTATTTCTTTAAATGGTAGCTGTGTTTCAGGAGCAGAGGGGTAGTCTTAAAAGAATATTCACTATTCTTTTAATTATATATGCCCTAGACCAGATAATTTATTTCCTACAAAAATGGAGTTGCAAAGAGAGACAGAGTCTGAAATAGATCAACTATAGAAACACAACTCCATAAATGTTGATTATGACTGTTTTTGATTGCAGTTAATTAAGAGAGTGTGACATCGCAGGTAAAATGCTTTTTTCAAAGTGAGCCTCATGCAAACCTTACTTGCTTTCATGTGTATTCCTAAAGCATCTGATGAAATGAAGATTTCAAGTAATGATGGTCGTCTACCGTGCTTGTCATTTCTATGCCAAAATGCTTGTAGACAAATTAATAGAAGTTGTAAAGGAAGGTGAGAAACTCATATTTGCAAAGAAGCTCACTGGAACCTTGGCTACTTTTTGTCTTTTTCAGGGAAAAATTTGAAAACCAGTTTTTCCTGGGTTTCAGTGGGACAAACTCCTGACTTTAAAGATGGACAGACTGAGTGACTCAGCCCAAATAAGAGTTGATGGGGAGTTAGCTATCAAACCAGTAGGTAAAAAAAAGAAAAAGAATTTATTCTTTTTGATTGGTGGTGACTAGAGGTGTGGAAATCCAAAAACTAAACTGTAACTCAGACATACGTCTACTTTCATTACTGAATTTTCTATCAACACCTTTACCAACTTCTAGGAACTACATGAGTACTCAGATACAACTTCGATTAGAAGGCAAACTACCAAAAACTGTTGAGAAAATTTCCAAAGTACCCTAAAAACTAAAATATGTCTTTTTTATTTTTAGTAACTGCTAGTCAAAGATAAGGGAGACCCTTAAAATAGACAACCTGCCTTCAGAAGCAAAACTTCATTCATAACAATCGTTATTTCACAACAAATGAAATGTTACAGTAAATTGACCCTTTGTCTCCTTAAAGGATATTATTTAATCAGCAGGAAATTCAAAACTCCTTACTTTACATTTTCAAGTGTTAAAACAATATTAAGGCAAAACAAGCAAAGAAACATCATTATTTTGGAGGAAAACCTCTCAAATTTAATCTTGAGCCACTTAGTTATTTTTTTTTCCTGTGCGGAGCACCTCATAATTTGGATATTAAAATAGCAATTAAGATCTGCAGTTGTTAATCTCAAGACTTCATTTTAACCATATATGAGTTTTTGCTTCTCTTAGGCTTTTTTCTTTTTTTTCTGATGAGGAATATTGGCCCTGAGTGAACATCTGTTGCCAATCTTCCCCCTTTTACTTGAGGAAGATTAGCCCTGACCCAGCATCTGTGCCAGTCTTCCTCTACTTTGTATGTGGGACGCTGCCACAGCATGGCTGGTGAGTGGAGTAGGTCCACACCCGGGATCGAAACTCATGAACCCAGACCACCAAAGTGGAGCACGCCGAGCTCTAACCACTCAGCCATGAGGCCAGCCCCAATTTCTCTTAAATTTTAACAAGCAAACCATGTCCTTTTCTCCCCATCCTGCTGAGTTAGTGTCTAGTCCAGTAATCCTTCTGGCACTGATAAGACATTTTTGGAATGTGAGCTGAATATCCTTTTTCTTAAATTTCTTGTGCCAAAGTAATTTCAATTATTTCCTTCCAGAAGATAATGGTAAGTCTACATAATTAGTTTGTAATTTGTGTTGTTAAATGTAGCCAAGATAGTCATAAATTCCTTTCTGGCATTCTCATTACACAACCTAGAAATACAAATCAAAGATGTGTCATTTTATCTTAGAAATTCAAAAATCAAAATTTTTAGGATGAAATTATTGCTAAATCAGGACACTGACATCATAAAACAGAAGCATAGCTGTTCTAAATGTGTGTAACTAACAATGTGTTCTCTTATATTTCCGCCAAGGAACCTCTCAAGAATCTGGCCCAAGAACACTAACTGTGAGTTAAACGTGGAAAGTTTGTTACCAACAGGAGGATTACAGACTCGACCTTAACAATTTCCCCAATAAACAAGGAAGGAGAGAGAAGGAGGGATAAAGATGGAGAAGAGTTATACCAGGAAAATGGCGGAAAGAACGGGATGACAGGCACCACAGAAAGCCCTCAAACGCTTGACGTGGTTTAAGGAAAGCGACAGGGAGGCCTTACCCCAGCCCATCAAGGCGAAGCCCCACAGGTATTTGGTGTCTGAAAAGAACGCCACGAAGATGAGACTATGCAGGTAGAGACCTTCCACCAAGATCCAAAAGTAGTTTGTAGCCAAGAAGTAAATAAACATCACAACGGCAATCTTGCACCCAACCTGTTACAAATAAACCGGAATCGCATCATTTTAGAGCTGCTGATGGGCCTAGATGCCAACATCAGACCACTGAAAAGCAGTTCTTCATTTATTTTCTATACTCTAATAAATCTCTGGTACACAGGAAGCCCTCAACTGCTGAAAGAGACCAGAACAAAGTTATTTTAACATAGCATTTTTAAGACTATGGGTTTGATTGTATTTTTAAAATATTTTTCCTTTAGAAGTTATAAAAAATAACTTTTCCTTAATTTTCCTTGCTTATAAAAATAATACATGATCATCAGAGAAAATTAGGAAAGTACAGAAAAGCATGAAGAAGAAATATTATCCATCATTCTACCATGAATTTATTTTATTCTGATCTTTTTTGTGCCCCAAAAGTTAATGGCTTAAAACAATAAAGATTTAATACATCTATGATTGCTATCGACTGGCTGGGTGACTCGGCTGATCTGGGCCGGATCAGCTGATCTTGGCGAGGCTCACTCACAGAAGTCTACCCTCGACTGGCACACTGTCACTTCCGCTTCTACTTCTTGGATAAAATAAGTCACAAAGCCAGTCCAGAATCAGAATCAGCAGGGACTCCAAAGTCACAGGCCAAAGGCATTAATGCAGCCGGGGCATTAATTCATACCATCACGACAATCCATCTACAATACCTAACTTCCAGATATGTTGCTTCAAAGGTGATAATGCTTCTAATTGACGGAATTGTTGGGTGATCCTATTTAGTAAATAACATAGGGACATTTAACAGGAGAATCAAGCGGCATGGGATCTCACAATGGAACAAGTCTTTGAGTCCACAATAAAAGAACTAAATGTCACGGGCCTTCAAATCCCAACCTTCTGATTTTGCAAGTGGACTTTTTACTTCTGCAAGTGGTGAGATGTGACAGCTGTCACAGGCCACACATCAAATGCCATTCCATTCACGTGCTTTTTGAAGTTCCCATCCCAGAATGTCCTTGAGGAAAGAGCCCAAGTACTTTTAACAATCTAAGATGATGAGTGATTATGCGTGAGAGTGGAGGACAGAGCTGAGGTACTAAATATCAGCGTACAAATTGGTCACCTACTCCAGTTAGTTCAAAGATAATATAAAACAAATTAACACATTTAGTGGACTGTAAAATTTTACTTATTTGTAATTTTATTCAAATCTATAATGAGAGAAAATGGTGAAAACACTTACGTATTGTGATTTGTCCACAGAAGGTGCTTCCATGGAACTCCGTGGGCCGTCCCGCATTATCAGGGCCTGCAGCTCCTCTGCTCCCAGGCGAGCATGGACCACGCTGTCCTTGACAAAGATGCTGGCAGCTCTCAGCATGAAAGATACGAACAAGTGCACATGGATGTAGTTCCTGGTACAATGCAATCGTCTACGGGGAGAAAATACTCAGTACTTAGATTTGGATAAAAGTAGAAATGGGGAGAGAAAATACAAAAATGAGTCCAAGCTTCTCCCAAAAAAAGAGGAAAACATAGTAAACTTTAACAAAGATAGAAACCCATTATCATATATTTCCAAGAGAAACAACTGGGATCAAAAACTAAAATGTAACTTTTCGAGAAATAATTTCAAATTTATCCTGATCTGCTACCATGTTTATCCAGATTTCACAGTGTTAGATTATGCTACTTTATACTATAGCGTTATATTACGCTAGATACTAAAGTAATAGCTAATGGAGAACCACCTTGAAGAGGGATAAACATCATTAAAGCTGAAATGCTCAGGGTGCTGGCCCGGAGGTCTAGTGGTTGAGTTTGTGCGCTCCACTTTGGAGGCTCAGAGTTCATGGGTTTGGACCCCAGGCGCAGACCTACACACTGCTCATCAAGCCATGCTGTGCTGTGGCAGCATCCCACATACAAAGTAGAGGAAGACCATCACAGGTCTTAGCTCAGCGACAATCTTCCTCAAGCAAAAAGAGGAAGATTGGCAACAGATGTTAGCTCAGGGCCAATCTTCCTCACAAAAAATAAATAAATAAATAAAAACACAAATGTGTGAACACCAGACAGTATATTAAAGGGTGATCAGTTGAAGGAGAAAAACCAGGAAATAGGTATGAGAAGTTTCAAGGAAGAGGGGGTTATAAGATAATAGGAAACAAAATATAAAACTTTTTTTAGTTGCAGTTTCTGTTAGCTTCTAAATCCTCTATTTTAGTTTTCTGAATATGTCATCTACCTTCACCCCTCTTTTCCCACACATAATTTAGCACTAAACTCTTAAAATTATCAGCTTAATTAATATATCTCAAAATCTTCCATTTCTACCCCAAGCCCCAGTGCCACTGCCTGAAGCCAGGCCACACCCCTCGTCCAGGGTTACGCAGCCTCTGCTGAGGGGCTCCTGTCTGCTTCCCACCAGCTCTCACTCCACCTTACGATGCAAGTGACATTCACATCACTCCTCTGCCGAAAATCCTTCACGGCTCCTCAGATGCCTTATAATCCACAGGCCTCAAGACATTCCGCACCCTGCTTACCGTTCCAGTCTCACCCACACCAAAATCCTGAATTCTAAGTATTCCACGCTTTCTCTTGACCTGAACTTAGGTTTGACCTCTCCCCCAGCCTCCTCTTTTGGTTAAATCTTATTTGGACTCATGCGCCATTTGAGATTTCGCTCCATTGGGGAGGTCTTCCTGCCTCTCCCTCCGCTGTCCTCCCAAATCAGGACACCCCGCCCGAATCACAGCACTTCTCACACTGAACCGGTTTCTCAGCTCTTTGGACCACACACCAGCTGCAGCCATCATGAGCATTAGTAAACGTGCTACACACGTCGTTCACTGCTTTATCTCCATACTGGTGTGCAAAATTTTGTGTTGATTTAGAGTAAGTTGAATTGAACTGGACAACATTTAAGTGGATAAAACATAAACCACAACAAAAGCAATAAATACTACTTCTTTATATATGATATCAGATAATTTGGGAGATTATTTAAAAAGAATTTCTGTCTAATGGCACCAAAATCATTGGGAAAAATGAAATAAATCTTTACTTCATGAATGAAAATCTTTGCAACTCATTCAATTCAGCTCTGCATCACTGCAAACAAAACACACTGCCATGCAGATCCCTTGGCTTCATGGTTTCATACTGCTTCAATGCTTTAAGTTTTTAAACAGCAACAAAAAATCCTTGAATTTCTCATGAAAAACAAATTGTCAAAGTCAAATAATGTAATAACACTGGACCAAATTCAGAAACTTGTATTTGGGAGAAGTCTTCCGGGGCACAGACGGTGAGACCTCTGTGTCTTCAGTGGATCAGAAACAGCCCTGTCCCTTCTGGAGGAAGCGCGTGGACCCACTCACCTGAAGCAGCCAATGACGAGCACAGCCACCACCAGGGAGCCAAAGGAGACAGAGTACCCGACCGTGTACAGGATGGAGAGGCGCTCAAAGAACTCCCGCTGAAGGGGACAGAGTCAAGAAAAGCAGTTTGAGGGGCCAGCCTGGTGGTGTAGTGGTTAAGTTCGCAAGCTCCTCTTCAGTGGCCCAGGTTCACAGGTTCAGATCCTGGGCTCAGACCTACACACTGCTCATCAAGCCGTGCTGTGGTGGGGTCCCACATGCAAAATGGAGGAAGATTGCCCCTATGTTAGCTCAGGGACAATCGTTCTCACCAAAAAAAAGGCAGTTTGAACTAGTAATCTTATTATAGATAAACTTAAACATCATGCTTTCACCTGTTTAGCGATAGGCGATGTGTTATCACGCATCCTTGACTTCCAGTCAAGGTTAAAGCTGTAACAACAATCTGTGGCACCTCCTGCTGTGTGAGGCCAAATTAAATGCTGCAACATTTACTTCATGTATTTTTGTACTGCTCATTTTAACTAACCGGAATTGTATATCTAGCGTGATATTTGGAGTAAATAAAACACTTTACAGGACTATTTTAAAAGGAAACTGGTAAAAAGCATATGTCATTTTTGGAATATTTCTAGTTTTCTTTAGCTTTTTTATTGAGCTGTAGTTTACATGAAATAAAATGACAGGTTTTAAGTGAGCAGTGTGATGGGTTTTAACAAACTGAGTTTGTTGTGATGCTGGCTGGTCGAAAACAACTCTCCACACCCACCCCCAGGCAGCTGCTGCTCCCATCTGTCACCACGGAGCAGCTGCACCTGCTCGCACGCTTCACACAATTCTTGACTGTTCTTAGACTTCTCAGAATTACACAGTATACACCCTTTTGGTCAAAATACTGTTTTTGATATTCACTGATATTGCTGCATGAATCAGTAGTTCATTCCTCTTTAACATTTTTTTATTTTAACATAATTATAGATTCACAAGAAGTGGAAAAAATAGTAAGAACGATCCCATGCCCCCTTCACCCATTCCCTCCATTGGTTGCATCTTAGGCAATTATACTAAAATACCAAAGCCAGGAATTTGACATTGGTGCAGTTTCGGTGTTCATAGCTCCATGTCATTTTGTCACATATGTAAATTTTTGTAAACATCACTGCAGTCAAGAATCGGGGCTATTCCATCACCACAAAGATCTCCCCTGACCTCTCCCTTCACCGTCACACCCACCCTCCTCCTCCCCAGCATTCTAACACCTGGTAACCACTACTCTGTTTTCTATCTCTATAATTTCGTTACTTCATAAATGTTATATAAATGGAATCATACAGGATATGACCTTTTGAGATCTGCTTTTTTCACTCAGAGCAATGACCTCAATGTCCATTTGAGTTGTACATATTAAATTTTTTCTTTTTCGTCTCTGAATAGTATTCCATGGTATGGATATAATCTGTATACATCATCATATTTGAAATGAGTTTCAAACCTGTAGATAGCACACATGTAGATGTAGATAGGTCATGAGTTTTAATAGATTCTTTCAATCTCTGTTAATTTGTATATTTGGACCATTTGTTTTTAATATAATATTGATACGTTGTCTATCATTTTATTTTTTATTTTCTGTTGTTCTATTTTTCATTTCTCTGTTTTGTTTTTCCTGCCATCCTGTGAATTACTTCAACCTTTTGTAGAATTTCATTTTGATGTATCTTTCTGCATAGTGCTCTTGGTGGTTTCTCTAGGTATTTCATTACGTAACTTAATGTGGAAACTTTCATCATTGAATTTTCACCTTTCTTCTTTTCTGGAAGCATGGAAGGCTACAAATCTTCCTTTAAGCTTTGCCTTAGCTGTTTTCCACAATTTTTTACATACTGAGTTTTCATATTTATTCACTTCAGATTTTTGCCATGGATCATACAAATTTCCAACTACTTGTGTATTGTCTACATATTTTATTTTAATTGATTTTCAATTAATTCTTTTGTGATCAGAGAATATACTCTGCGTGATTTTAATCCTAAGATTTATTGAGACTTGTTTCACAGCCCAGCACGTGTTCCATCTTGACGAACATTCAGAGTGTACTTCAAAAGAACGTGAATTTGTGGTTATTGGGTATAGTATTCTACAGACATCATTTTAATCTAATTGTTTGACAGATATCCTCTGGAAGGTTTGTCTACTTGTTCTTTCAATTATTGAAGAATGGCATTTTAAAAGTTCCACTGTGATGAGATTTGACTTTATCTCCTTTTACCTCTGACAACTTTTGCTGTGTGTACTTTGAATCTCTTAAATGCATGCATATCTAGGATTGTTATTTCATCTTGGTAAATTGATTCTTTTTTTATTTTGAAATGTCTCTCCATCTTTGGTAATACTCTTTGTCTTGAAGTCTACTTAGGCACACCAACTTTCTTACACTTAAAGTATGCACATCATATATCTTTTCCCACCCTTTTATATCAACATACCTTTTATTTTTACATTTATCTGTATCTTTATATTTACAGTACATTTCTTGAAGATAGCATGTAATTGAGTCATACTTTTATTACCAATTCTGACAATCTCTGCCTTTTAAGTGAAATGTTTAGTCCATTTACATCGAACACAATCATTGCTATCAGCAGGTTTAAATCTAACACATTGATATTTACATTCTATGTGTCCTATCTTTTCTATGTTCTTCTGTACTTACTTTGTTACCTTTTATTGGGAGAGAGGATCTATCAAGTATTTCTTAATATTTCACTTGTGCTATTTCTTAGCAGTTAACTATACAGACTTGATTATGCATCCTGAACTTATCAGAGCCTGTATTTAAATAATATTGAACTATTTCACAAACTTTACAATCATGTACCCAATTTTGCTCCCCCAGCCTTTGTCCCATTTAGATTTTCTTTTACACAATTTATAAACCCTAATAAGAGGCTATTATGTTTGCTTTAAGCAGTCAATAAACTTTTAAATCAATTAAATTATAGATATAAAGATAGATATAATTATAGCAATAAATACAGACACACGGTTTTGTTTGTTCTTCAGTCTGTCATTTTTATCCACAGGTGTACCTATCCTGGTGCTGCCCATTCCTTCCTGCCAGTCTGTGCTTCCAGCTGGCACGCTTCTCTCCTGTCTAGGGAATTTTCTTGAGCATTTCTTATGCTGCAGTACTGATGAAGATGAATTCTCTCAGACTTTTTCTGTCTGAAGAATATCATTATTCTGCTTTTATCTTAATCTAGATGATCACTTTAAAGATGTCACTCCGTTGTATTCTGGCCTCTATTGTTTCCAAGTAAAAGTCGGCATCTTTTTTATGATTGTTCCCTGAATATAACCTGCCCTTTCCTCTCACTGCTTTGAAGATTCTCTTTATGCCTTGATTTACAGCCATTTGACTGTGATGTGTGTAAGTATGGTTCTTTTCCTTTAAGTTTTCATTCCTCTGCAGACTTTCCCACCTGTTTTTGGATAATGTGTAAAATAAAAAATGGAGGAGAAAAAAAATTTCCTGAATTCCTATTAAACAAAAAGAAACACTATAAATACATCACATATTTCTTTTCATTCTATTCAGGCATCATTTCCTATTGTTTTGAGCACTGTATTCCAAATTTATATACAAGTTTATTACCTGATTTTTTTTCAGTTAACTGTAAACCAAGAGAATTTCACAAGGCCACAAACCCTTTACAAAATATACATATATATGAGCTTTTCATTGGAAATTTAAATTATTTGGACTATTCACTATAGTAATTAACATTTCAATGAACATTTTTTCCATTCAGTTTCCCCCATTCCAAATCCTTATGCTTGAATCTTAGAAGGAAAATTATAAGATTGAAGGATATGACCCCTCTGAAGTGTTTCTTAAGATGTATTGCTAAATTGCTTTCCAAAAATTCATATAGTTTTTACATATGAGATATATTATATGGTAATTTCTACACCATGCTACTGTTTAAATACACTACCTGAAGAATTTAATAACCTCGTGGCCCATCATATGAGTCCCTGTCCTTCTTTTTATTAAAAGTAATTATCTCATTTTGTCAGGCCAATGATACGAAAATTATTTAAGAACAAAATAATATATGTTTAAAAAAATCTTAGTTAGTCTATTTCCCCAATAAAGATGTGGCATTTATTGTAAAGGCACATTTTGTTTTCACTTTTTGTTCCTTATACAAATACTCTGATTATGACCATTAATAATTAATACCTCATAAATAAGTAATATCATTTTGCACTACAGTCTATCGAAACTTCAGGAGATATCCAGTTTTCTAACTAAAGGATATTTAGTTTTCTTAAGTTTCCTCAAATTATTGCTTGAAAGTTGTAAAAAATAGAAAACACTCTATATTTTTAGTTAGGTAGATAAAATTATTTACGCTAACAAAACCCTTCAAATTTTTCAGTTAACTTTTAAGCCATTTTTATAATAAATAGTACAGATCTTGGGAATATTACCATCCTTAGTTATTTTGATTCTTGGACCACACAGTAATCATAAAGAACCACTATAAGATATTGGAGTTCAGTGTAAATAAAACTATGATTGTATTTAATGGCCATTTAAAGGTTGCAAAAGACTTGCATTTGCCATCATTTAATGTACAAAAAATTGATCGCAGAGTACAGTAAATGCTGTGAATGTTTATTTCTGTCAATGAAATCTAAATTATCTTGAAGCACTTTAATTAGCACATTGTGGGCCTAGTTCCATTGCAGAGCACCCATCAGTCTCCTCACATGGACCGATTTTATCCAAGAAGCTTGTCAGCGACAAAACCCACAACCGAAGGACTGTCAGCACTTACTAACGAGCTCATCAAAGTGGGAGTGCCTTGTGTTAGAAAAGAAGAAAGTTAAGAAAGGAAGCTCCGGGGGGCCACCCGGGTGGCACAGTGGTTAAGTTCACACATTCCACCTCGGTGGCCCAGGGTTCTCCGGTTTGGATCACAGACACGGATCTATGCACCGATTGGCAAGCCTTTCTGAGGCAGCATCCAACATACAAAGTAGAGGAAGATGGGACAGATGTTAGCTCAGGGCCAGTCTTCCTCAGCAAAAAGAGGAGGATTGGCAGTGGATGTTAGCTCAGAGCTAATCTTCCTCAAAAAAGAAAAAGGAAAAAAGAATCACATAAAAACATTATTCTGCTTTCCCTCAGGGGTTCACAGATACAAAAATACCATTACCTTTCCGAGGCTGGTGTCTGGCTGCAGAAAGCGAAGGCAGTCTGAATAATTAGCCCATGTTTTATTTAAACTGTGCATAAAATCCCATGTTCCATTCGCATTACAGTGTCGGACAGCAACTCCTGCAAAGACATGAAGAAAACCACTGAGACTGCTCAGGTGCCTCAGAGTCCATTACAAAATGAAAGTTCCAAATTAATCATCTCAAGAAAAATTCAATACCATTGTGATTGAAGTCATAAATATAAGGAGGGCATGGGACGGCCGAGATTTTCCCCACTGTTCCTCTGGGCCAACAAATGAGTCCATCCCACTCTGGGAAACAATTTCCATCTGACAAGGAAAAAAAGTAAAACACAATAAACAAAAGTGCAGCTGGAACCAGAAAGTAAATGCATTCAAAATACAAAAAGTCAGGTCACTGCAGGTGGCAAAATGTAAAGCAAATTGGTAGTTTGGGAAAGTAGAATGGGGTAAACATGATGCAAACATCCCCAAATTCATCTTCCTAGCATCATCAAAGGCCCACTAACAGGTACATTTGATTTGTGCAAATTAAAAATATTTTCGTGATTCTAATATATATGAGTTATAGCAGTTAGAGCAATTAATACAGAAGAAAATTGAAATGCGCTGTGAACAACTTCTGTAGGAAAGTTCTTCCAACTATCATAGTTGTAGCTACATTTTTACCCCAGATTTTTTTAAATAGCTGTTAAAAAATATGATGCATGAAACAAATTGAGCTTCACGGGTAAGCTCCAAGATTGGCGTTTACCTTTTTACCAATAATTTTAGTAATTTCTTTGGGTCTGACACTTGTCTCAGAGAAAATTCTCATAAGCTCTACTCTGCTGAGACCCATCCAGACCCACCCCTTCCCACACCTGCGCTGGACCACCACCGTCCAGGCCCCATCTCCAGCCGCACTGCCACAGGCTCCAGCCCCGCTCCCCGACGCCATCCTTGCTCGCTTTTCTCCTGTTCTTCACACAATAGCCCTCAATCCTCCCAAGACTTCCCATCGCACTCTGAGCAAAGGCCAAATCTACACAGTGTCCGAAGGCCCTGCAGGATCTGCTCTCTCTCCCGGCTTATCCCCGACCTCAGCTCCTGCCAAGGTCCTTCCTGCTCCTCCTTGAATTCAAGGCCATCCCCTAGAGAGCCCCAAGGCTTACTCCCTTATCTCCTACAGATTTCTACTAAACATCAGCTTCTGAGTAAAATGTCCTCATTTAAAACTGCACCCCAAACACTCCCTATCTGTTTCCTGCAGTAGTTTTCACCTGAGCTCTCATCACTTTCCAGTATTGTGTTGTTCTATTATCATTTTCCTAAATCACAGGGTTTAAGGACCCTGAGAGTGGGGAGTTTTGTCTGTTTTGTTTCATGCATTAGCCACATTCCTGGAACAGCACCTGACGCCTGACGGGGGCTTAACAAACATTCAGTCAACGTCCACACTGGGCTCTCCAGGACTCCTCCCCACGAGCTGTGCACTGAACTTCCAAGAAGAGAGCGTCTCGGCCATGTCATGCCCCAAATTCCCAAAAAGAGACTTTTAATGAGTGCTGTATTCATTTTCTACTGTTACCAGAAAAATTACCACAAATTTAGTGGCTTCAAATAACCCAACTTTATTTTCTCATTATTTCTGTAGATCAGAAGTCCAATGAGCTCAGCGGGATCTCTGCTCACGGACTCACAAAGTGGAAATCAAGGGCTGGGCAGGCTGCACTGCTTCCTGAGGATCCGAGGTAGAATCGGTTTCCTTACTCATTCGAGTTATTGACAGAATTCAGTTTCTTGCAGTTGTAGGACTGAGGCCCCCATTTCCTTGCTGGCTGTCAGCTGAGGGCTGTTCCCAACTTATAGAAGCCACTTGCATTCCTCGGCTCATGGCCCCCTTCCTCCACCTTCAAAGTCAGCAAGGCAGTCGAGTCTTCTCACGTTTGGAGTCTCTTTCACTCTCCGTTTCTCAGACTCACTCTTCTGTCTTCCTCTTCCACTTTTAAGGGGGCCACGTGATTACATTGGGCTCATCCAGATAATCCAGGATAATTCACCCTATTGTAAAGTCCATAAACTTAATACCAGCTGCAATGCCCTTTGCCATGTAATGTAACATACACAGGATAACACCAGATATTAGGGCATAGACATCTTCGGGGGGTCATTACTCTGCCATCACAAGTACCATCCAGTATAGCTCTCTCAATTTTTAGGTACCAATTGCACTAACTGTAGCAGAGGATTGCTGTTCTAGCTAATAATGTTCATGATTTCAAATTGTCTGTTCAGTTTTGAATAGTCAGCATAACAGAAGCACACACAAAGACCGCTCTCTACAGAAAAGAATTCAGCCAGAACCTGAAATTAACTTCCTAGTGTCCAGCACACCACATGGAGCGAGTACTTGATTTGCTTTGTGCATTGCTGAAGGAATAGGAAAGGAAAAGGTCTCTCGTCGCCCACGCTGTCCTCAGAGAAGAAAACGTTTTCTTGGAAACAGCCTCACTTTGCTCGTAAAAGCCTGCACGTTATGCATCACAAGCAACCCAGGAACTCATGGCACCAGCTCCTGCTCCTGGTGCACAGCCTCACCGGCCTCTTCCCACCATTACCTGCTCTCTGTCTGTTTGTGGTCCTTCTTGTTCACACAGAGTGTAAGGAGTCTGCCTCTCATCAGTTTTCCCTCGACACTCCTCTGCATCTTGGTACCATTCCACGTGGCTTCCCACCCATTCACCTCGTCTCTAACAGTCACACACACCTATTCATCTGGACTGTCCAATCCTTGGCCAGGTATCAATTGTACCAGCTACACAAACTGGACCTCAGCACACGTTCCTGTGTTCCTGTAACTAGTTGTCCCTCTGAAACGTATGCTGCAACATCATGTGAGATTTTCTGGCAAGAGTTAGTCATGTGATGGAATAAGGTCTTCATACAAGTCTGAAATCCAGCGACCAGTTTATTCTATAATTATGTAGTTTTTAAACTGCTATATCAAAAAGTTTGCTGATTTTTTCCTCATGCTCTAAAAGGGACAGCTTTCTAGTTCTCTGCAAGATACCATCCCATACACCTACACACACAGGCATACCCCCAAAACTCAGAAGATCAATACTCCCCCAAAATGATGTTTCTGTATATCACAATCATCTCTCCAGTGGTTCTTTGACAAAGATAATGATAAATATTCACAAAATGTTGAAAAGACTGGGCAAGCCATGCTCTCCACAGATAGTAGAGAGATCTTAATTAACATCTTGTCTTTGATCATCATCTCTCAACCTATGTGAGTAATTACTTGCATTATACAGCAAGAAACTAATTAATTGCCAAATGACTCACCAATCTCCCTTTATAAATTAACCCCACTAATTGCATTCCCTGTAACCTTCTGTGTGAGCCAGGGCAACCTAATCATTAGTGAGCTTGTCAGGATGTGATGCTCATAGGACAATCTACAATTTGGAGACTCAAACTCTGTCTCTTTTCAGTTCTACAGCTGCCCATAACACAACGTGACCACACATTTGTGAAGTGGAGCTGGGACCAATAATATTTTGGTTTTTGTTTTAAACATTTGAATAGTTCTATAGCCAGACATTTGCATTCACATTTCCTGTTCTTTCTTTCATAGTCATTAGGAAAAATTTTATTTTCTTTCTATTATAAATTTTTTTCAGAAATAAACATAGAATATTATATATCCATTATCAAAAACTGACAGCTGTTAATATTGTACCATATTTATTTCAACTAATATATTTTTGCTGCAGTATTTTAAAGTAAATTGCGAGCAGGATAACAGCTCACTCCTAAATATTTTGATATGCATTTCTCAATTTTAGAAGAATTTGAAAATAAAAAGGTCTTTAATTAGCTAGTGAATTAAAAACATCATTTCAGTTTTTTACACTCATAAAATGAAGACATTTTTAGTCAATTTACATATAATTAGACATTTTCATTGAAAGATAGACCAAAGTTTGACCAGATTTAATTCTATCCTATTTGTATGGAGAAAGATCTCAAAGAAAGTGTCTTTTCTCTTTGAATATGTTTCATCCACATGGTCCCCCTGATTCACACCCTCCTGTGATGTTCCACAAGTTTACACTCAGATCGATTACTCCTTTTCCGCGCAGCTCATGTGCCGTGTGACTGGTTCACACAGGCTCACCTACGCCCTTCCTGCTCCCTCTGCCTGGAAGGTCTTCCTTCTTCCTCCTCTACACATCTACTTCCTATCTCTTTAATTTTAGGCTGAGATCATTATTCCTCCAGGGAGTCTCCTCTAGTCCTTCCCTGATGAATTAAGACGCTTGTTCAGTGGTTCCACAGTTGTGATTCCTCTGTCGTTAAACTTACACACCCTCTGGAAGATGTCTCCCTGCCTCACCATATCATCATCTCCAAGGGGCAAGGGCAGAATCTGATTCATTTTTTCCAGTGTCTATTACAGAAGAAACACACCATGTGCACAGAATATTTGTTGAACTGTCAAAGGGACACTGAAGATGACAATGTTGGACTAGGTCATCTCTGAGATATCTTCCAGCTCAAAATTTCACGAGACTTCACAGAAAACAGTTCATTCAGCCCTCATAGACAATAATCCTTATAAATTCCTTTATGGCATTGTTGCTCCTTCAGTGTTCTTTAGAGGTAGCATGGATGATTCTCTTTTCTGACACTATTGATCTAGCCATTCAGAGAACTGCTTCCTAGTACAAGTGGCCTACAAGGGCTGGATTAATATAAAAACTATCTCTCTTAAAACATGGCTTAGCTGGCTATAAATTAAAGGAACAAATCTGAGGCCAGAAATTATTCCATAGGGTCAGCAAGCACTGAATTTGGGGCCCACATGAAGGCGTCTGCTGACCTGCTGGCTTAGAGCTTGGGTTTTGACGGTGTGCAGGTAACAAAAGATGAGCCTGAGGCCTGATGCTGTTGGGAAATTGGACTGAAACCTCCGTATAAGGTCAGGACATCCAGAAGATGACTCTCTTAGTGAGCAAACAAGAAACAAAAACATCCTTTAGAAAGAGGCTGGCTTGTTCTACTCTTGGCTCCATTTAGAGTTGGAGCAGGAACAGTGAAGAAAAAACTTCTTCTCTGCAAATTTCTAACCACAAGCTGACATTCCTGTGTGGTCCAGATTTAGTCTAAAGTGGACTTAGGTCACCAGTTCCTCCAGGCACCTTGCAGAAGTAAACACAAATTTTCTCTGGAGGAATGCACTTTGAGAACCTCATGAGTTCTTTATCATAACTCATGAGGCACACAAGAAATAAGCCACCATGTGAGGCAGTCAGCATTGACAAGCAAAGCCCATGGATATTAGAATTATAAATTGCAGAACATAAAATATGTTTAAGAAAAAAAATAAGAGATTGAAAGGATATTGAAGATACAAGAGTATCAAAATTGAATATGAAGATTTCAGGAAATGAAAAATAGAATAATCAAAATTAACTTAATGGATGGATTAAACAGCCATTAGACAAAGCTGAACAAAAAATCAGCATTTTGGAAAACACATTTGAAGAAGTTAACCAAAACATCAGTGGAGAAACAAAGAAAAGGGAAATATATAAGATATGAAGACACAAAGGGTGGTGTGAGAAGGTCCCACACTGGCAGATTTAAAGTTCCAAAAGGAGAGAGTAGGAGGAGAGGGGAGAACAAGTTTTCAAAGACAAAATAGCAAAACATTCCCACCGTTGAATAAAGACACAGATTCTCAGACTCCAGAAATCAAATGAACCCAAACCTAGACACAGCGAAACCGCAGAACATCAAAGTCAAAGAGAAGTTCTTAAAAGGAGCCAGAGAGAAAAAACTAATCACCAACAGACCGAGAACTGATTTGTCAGCAATAACAATGGAAGCTGGGGGGAGAAATAAAATAATATCTTCAGAGGCTGAAAGCAAATAATTCTCAACCAAGGATCACACATCCAGAAAAAGTATCTTTCAAGATTGAGACTGAATTAAAGACCATTTCAGACAAACAAAAACGGAGACCATTCCCTCTTAGCAGTATATAAATCCTTTAAAAAAGACATTTTTGGAAGAAGAAAAATTATAACATAAAATTAAGGTAAAACTAAAATCCCATATGACATTAGCATATAATTTAGAGGCAATTAAAGTATTTCAAACTGTATATATTATTTGTGAGGGGGAAGTTATTAAGTTTAAGCTTTTTAAAATTATATATGAAAAATGTTCTAGATTAGCACTAAAAGAAGTAAATATAATATGTATCTCCCAAACTAGTAGGAGGAACGAGGATGAAATAAGGAAAAAAGTTTAAATCAATTTAAAAGAAGCCAAAAGAAGGTAGTGGTGAGAGTGGAAGGGACATAGGAAGATCTGGTGAAAGAGAAGCTCACATAAGATAACAGAATCACATTCAAATATTGTGCATTAATAACCACAATTAATGTAATTGAGCTAAACTCTCTCATTAATAGACAAAGATTATCAGAACGGATAACAAGGAAAAGTCACATGTCTTGTTTACAAATGATAACTCACAGAACATAGGCGTACAAAAACGTTTAATGAAAGAATGGGAAAAGATAAGCAGCTGTTTGATGGACCTAGGGTGTCAATGTTGCAAGAAGAAAAATTTCTGGCAATTGTTTGCACAACAATGTGAATAAGAACATCACTGAGTCATACACTTAAAAATGTTTAAGATGGTAAATTTAATGTTATGTGTATTTTACCACAATTGAAAAGAATTTTAAAGGATAGGAAAGATATGCAAGGCAAACACCAACCAAGGGAGAAAGAAACTAATGTTTATTAAATACTGTTATTTTAATATAATTTTATATTACATATATTCTTTATTATTTAATAAACAAAAATATACTAGAGATAGAGAGGGCTGCTTCATATCAATAAAAGGTTTAATTCACCAGGAAATATAACATTTCTAAATTTGTATATACTCAGTAACGTATTTTCAAAATATATGAAGCAAAAAATTCGCCATAATTGCCATTACTCATCATCTTGATGGGAGATTTCAAGGTACATACTTGAGGAAAGAATAGGTCAAGAAGATGGGAAATCATGGATACAGAGCACATGAACCACACAGTCAATAAGCTTAATCTAGTGGACACTATAAAACACGGTACCTAGAAAGTGGAGAACACACGTTCCTTTGAAGACCACAGGGGACCTTTGTCAAAATTGACCACAATATAAGCCATTGGTCTCAATACATTTTTAAAAATTAGTATCACACAGACCACATTCTCTGATCATAACCAAGTGAGAAATCAATCTTGAAATTTTTTTTTTAATATTTGGAGACAAGAATGACGCAGACAACAAACTACATACTTTATTATGTGGCATAGTTTTAAGGACATTATCTGCTGCATTCCGACTGTTGGGAATTTAGGGAGCTTAGTAAATAGCACATTTTTAAAAAAATTTCCTTGAATATATTCAAAACTATCAAGGCAAAGTATTTTCTTATATAAAACATTTTACTTTCCCCACTACGCCAAAGAAATCCAATAAATAGCTTTACTCAAGAGACTCAATGAGGGGCCAGCCCCATGGCTGAGTGCTTAAGCTCCTGCGCTCGGCTTTGGTGGCCCGAGGTTCACAGGTTCAGATCCTGGGGACAGTCCTACCTACCACTCATCAAGCCATGCTGTGGCGTCATCCCACACAGAAGAACTAGAATGACCCACAACTAGGATAGACAGCTGTGCACTGGGGCTTCCGGGAGAAAAAAAAAAAGAGGAAGATTGGCAACAGATGTTAGCTCAGGGCCAATCTTCCTCACCAAAAATCACATCTTTAAAAACAAATAAATAAATAAAAATTAAATCTAAAAAAATAAAGCAGATTTTCTTTTTAAAAGAAAAAAAAGGTGTCTCCATGAGAACCGCAATGGCCACAGGCCCCTGTGCAGCTGCAGGGTGGAGGCACCCGGAGCACCCCACCCCCTCCACAAGCTCGCCTGTAGTTTTGTGGGTTTGTTTGTGTAGTTTCCCACTTAAATCTGGAACTAATTGATAAACTACATAAGGAGTCAGGTAGACGAGATAAAATGCTCATTTTATCAGGAATACAGTTTTGGAGAGCATGGCTCAGGCATGTAAGAGTGGGCTTGCTTGTTGCTCCTCTGAACTTTACGCACGACCTGAAAGTGCCGGCAGTGCCCACAGGGGCAGAGCTCGCGGGAAGGCCGGCGTGCACCCGTGTGCGTGCTCTCCGCGGGCAGGCAGTCCCAGGAGAGGCCTGAGGACGGCTCCTGTGCACAGGCCGGGCCGCTGCCCCCAAACTCAGCCAGGCAAGTCCTCTCCACAGGGAGGGAGGGGCCGGCGGGTTAGAGAGCTGAGGGGCCTTGTTCCGCCCCCTCCCCATGGAGGGGCAGAGACTGGGGAGAGCTCCCTAATGCCGCATACGGGGGAAAGCTGCAGGCTTTGCGGGGAGCTGGGGGGCGGGTAGACAGGCTTCTCGGCGTCTTTACCTCCTTCCTGGAGCTGAGCGGTGATGTTGAGTTCACACTGCACCTTAGCTCTCAGCACAAGGACGATCTGCTCCTCTATGGTGACGGTGCCGTCAGAATTCAGCTGAGAATCGAACACAACACAGACAGAGACAAACGTCCCCATTATGTTGTTTTTAAGCCGTGATACAAATTTTCATTATTTTACCTTCTAACATAGTTGAAAATAAAAGTTTCTATATCAAGCTATCTGAAATAGTCCTTTATCTGAATCAAAATTCAAAATCCATCACTGTATAAGATTTTAGAGTAATCTTACTTTTACCTGATTTGCCTAAAGAAAAACATCTCATACCAGAATTTTTTAATAATTAGGTAATTATATCAGATATAAGATAATTGGAAAAATGACAAAGATTAAAAATTTCCTAGAATGTTATGAAGACAATATTTTATTAATTGTCTTGCAATATGTCAATTATGGCAAATAGAAAGAGAATGGCCTAGAAGACTAAATTTAGCACTCCTGAGAAATCACCAGTGAAACCTTGGGCAAGTCACTCAATGTCTATGGGCTTTGATTTACTCACCTAGGAAATAAACGGGATACTCCAAATGGTCTCTACTTACATCTTTGCTCCTTTTTCCAGCTTTATTGAGATATTATTGATGTGTAATATACATATGTTTAGGGTGTACAATGTGATGCCCTGATACATGTATATGCTGTGAAATGACCACCACAATAAGGTTAGTTAACACCTCCATTCCCTCACATAATTATCATTCTTTGTGTGTGGTGATAACATTTAAGATGTTCTCTCTTAACAACTCTCAAGTATATAATATAGTATTGCTAATTACAGTCGCCAGGCTGTTCATTAGATCTCCGGAACTTATTCATCTTATAGCAGGAAGTCCTTGCCCTTTGACCAACATCTCCCCATGTCACCCACCCTAACCTCTGACAAACACCATTCTACTCTCTATTTCTATGAATTCAGCTTTTTTAGATTCCATATAAAGTGAGAACATACAGTACTTGTCTTTGTCTGTCTGACATTTCACTTAGCATAATTCCCTCAAGTTCTATCCATGTTGTTGCAAAGGGTAGAATTTCCTTCTTTCTATGGCTGAATAATATTCCATTGTATATGTATACCATCTTTCTTTATCCATTCATCCATCAATAGATGCTTAGGTTTTTTTCCATGTTTGGCTTATGTAAATAATGCTGCAATGAACATGGAGGTGCAGATGTCTCTTCCAGTTAGTAATTTAATGTCCTTCAGATATATGCCCAGCAGTGGAATTGCTGGATCGTACGGTAGTTCTATTTTTAATTTTTTGAGGAACCTCCATACTGTTTTCCATAGTAGCTGCACCAATTTGCATCCCCACCAACAGTGCACAAGGGTTTCCCTTTTCTCCACATCCTTGTCAACTCTTGTTATCTCTTGTCTTTTTGATGATGGCCATTCTAACAGGTGGGATGTGATATCTCGTGGCTTTGATTTGCATTTCCCTGTTGATTAGTGGTGTTGAGCATCTTTTCACATATCTATCAGCCATTTGTATGTCTTCTTTGGAAAAATGTCTATTCAAGTCCTTTCCCATTTTTTAATCAGAATGTTTGGGTTTTTTGCTATTGAGTTTTATGGGTTCCTTATATGTTTTGGATATTAACCTCTTATCAGATATATGATTTGCAAGTATTTTCTCCCATTCAATAGGTTGCCTTTTCATTTTGTTGATAATTTCTTTTTCTGTGCAGAAGTCTTTTAGCTTGATGTGGTCCCACTTGTTTATTTTTGCTTTTGTTCCTTGCATTTTTGGTGTCATATCCAAAAAATCACTGCCAAGATCAATGTCAGGAGCTTTTTCTCTATGTTTTCTCCTAGTAGTCTTACAGCTTTGAGTCTTGTATTTAAGTCTTCGATCCATTTTGAGCTAACTTTTGTGAGTGGTATAAGATAGGGGTCCAATTTCATTGTTTTGTATGTGAATATCCAGTTTTCCTGACACCATTTATTGAAAAGACTGTCTTTTCCCCAGCGAGTATTCTTGGCTCCCTTGTCAAGTATTAGTTGACTATGCACGTATGGGTTTATTTCTGGGTGCTGGATTCTGTCCCATTAGTCTGTATGTCCATTTTTATGCCAGTGCCAACTGTTTGGATTACTATAGCTTTGTAAGATAGTTTGAAATCAGGAAGTGTGATGCCTCCAAGTTTGTTCTTTCTCAGGATTGCTTTGGCTATTTGGGATCTTTTGTGATTCCACACGCATTTTAGGACTTTTTTTTCTCTTTCTGTGAAAAAATGCCATTGGAATTTTGATAGGGATTGCACTGAAGCTAGATTTCTTTGAGTGGCGTGGACATTTTAACAATACTAATTCTTCTGTTCCATTAACATGGTACATCTTTCCATTTATTTGTGTCTTCTTCCATTTCTTTCATCAATGTCTTGTCGTTTTCAGTGTACAAGTCTTTCACCTCCTTGGTTAAATTTATTACTGAGTGTTTTATTATTTTTGACACTATTATAAATGGAATTGTTTTCTTATTTCTATTTCAGATAGTTCTTTGCCAGTGCATAGAAACACAACTGATTTTTATATGTTGATTTTGTATTCTGAAACTTTACTGAATTCATTTATTAATTCTAACAGTTTTTTTGGTAGAATCTTTATGGTTTTCTATATATAAGATCATAGCATCTGCAAATAGAGACAATTTTACTCCTTCCTTTCTGATTTGGATGGTGCTTATCTCTTTTTCTTGCCTAACTGCTCTGGCTAGGAATGCCAGTGCTGAATAGGGGTGGTGAGAGTGGGCACTCTTATCTTGTTCCTGATGTTATGGAAAAGCTTTCAACTTTCGTCATTGAGTACAATGTTAGCTGTGGGTCTGCCCTTTTTGTTTTAATACTGTGACACTTTCATGGTAAGATATGCACCAACATATCCATTATCCATTCAATCACTATTTGTTAAATACTTTTGATATGAAAAATAATCTTTGATATTATAGCAAAGACTTTCATTTTCTAGTATTTTTCTGTAGCACATTTTCTTCAAATAAAACACTTCATGAGAAAATTCCAACTACTAAAAATATGTATATAATAGCAGAACTTCCCCAACTGAAGCCTAGGAGAATGTGAATGGGGAATCACGCTGTCTCACTAATTTGAATCTTCCTTTTACCGGGCCTGCTCTGAAAAACCACAGGGATTCTCAAAGCATTGCCAGAAAGCCACCATTAATAGGAATATAAAGATGTCCAGCAGCGTCTTATAGGACTCCCACACAAATGTTTCTTCCTACTGGACATCTTTCAGTAGGTATCCTGATACCCATTCCCACCCTGGAGCATGTTTCTAACATACAACAAGTGAATAATAAATACTTGTTGGATGAATTCATGAGATTTGGCTTTAACACAATCACTAATGGAAAGGAAATTCCATTATTGGAAGACTTTAATTTCAATAAAATCTATTTTAAACATGATAAAATATTCATAAGTGTTTGTTGACAGCATGGAGCTTGGACCACCTGAAGCTGATGCCCATGGAAAATGCAGATTCTTAGCCTGCACATCACACCCAGTGAATCAGAATTTATTTCTGGACGTGAGACTGATGATCCTCATGTTTCATAGGAACCCCTGGTGATTCTTGCACTTACTTTAATGGGTTTGAGAACCAACATATTTGAAGGTACGAGATAATAGTGAAGATCATTCTCTTAGTCAAGGTCCAATCAGAGAAGCAGAACTACTGAGAGACTAGGATAGATTATAAAGAAAGAGAGAGAGGTGGAAATGGAGGCAGAATGAAGTATGTGTTACAGGTACGTGAACATAAACAACGTGGGAGCTGGTTAAACAATCCTGGGAAGGCTATTATTTCTTGTCTGGTGCTGGAGCTGGAAATCTGCAGGTGAGGCAGTCAGATAAAGAAGAGGAGTGTAAAGAGAGGGAGAGAAATAACAAGCCGCAACCACGGACACGAGCTGGAAACCACAAGGACACGCTGGAGCCACGTTACTTCTCGGTGCGTCCAACCTTGATGATGTGAGTACACAGCAGGAGAAACTGGCACCCTCCATCATGGACCCATGGACTGGGCCCAGGAATCAGAGACGTTAAAGGAGGACCCAGAGAGAGGGGAGCAGCTGCAGGCCCGGCTGCCGCCCTCTCCAGTGAGAGACACTAAAGTGACTGCCCCCACCTTCCAAGTCTAAAAACCAAAACGGCTGCTGCTCCACCTCTGCCTCCAACACTCCAGAAACACTGTCTCTGCAGCTCACCCCAACCAGAAGCATGAAGGGAAGGGGGCTCCGAGGAACCAGCTGAGCAAGCCAAACTGACCCGTCACAAGGCCCTGGAATCCACCTCGGTCAACTCGGCTCTCACACACACCTCTTTCAACCCACTTAATCTGCAAAAGCTTCAGTAACAAAGTCATGCTCCCATCTAATATGGCCCGCTGCATTTGGTGCCAAGAGGGGTTCATGTATAGCCGTGTAAGAGATTAACCCAAAACTCTGTGGCTTAAAACAACAAACATAATTATCTCACAGCTTGGGAGAGGGCTAGCTGTGTGGTTCTGGCTCAGGGTTCCTTATGAGGTTGCAGTCACGGCTTCGGCCAAAGAAGCTGTCACCTAAAGACTCAACTGGGCCTAGAGGGTCCACTTCCAAGACGTGGCTAGTGTCAGGGGCTCAGTCCCGCAGCGGCTGACGGGAAGAAGCCTCGGGCCCTCACCACATGGTTTTACATGGACGCGTGTAGTGTACATACTTAAGGCCAAAGAGCGGTTTCCACCCTCGGTGTCTATCCCTCCAAAAGCAACAATTACATCCAAAATGAAGTGGCACATTCAGCAAAACAGACGTTAGTAACTTTTCTGTGCAAGTGGTCCTTTACAATTTGAAACAAAACATTTACTTTCAATCTGTCACACATGTGATGGCTGAGAGAAGGCCTCATTTGATAATGCGCATTTTATTGAAAGTCCCTAAAGTTGCCATTATAGATATTAATTGCTGATGTAAGAATATGCAAATCTCCATCATTACAATATCCACATTTATTCCACTTTCCAGCAAATGTGAA